CAATTTAAATTATTCAGATAATATTGTCAATTTATCATATGGAGTATGTAGAATTATTTATTTATTATCACTATACTTTCCCTTCACCTTTTTTTTTTTTTTTTTTTTTTTTGTTTTGTTTTGTTTTTTTTTTTTTTTTTTTTATTTTTTATTTTTATGTTTAAAGAGCCACAAGGGTGGGAGATGATAAATGGAACTTTAACCACTGCTATCCTTCACTATACGGTCTAAACCTTCCCTTCACTTTTTATTTATTTAACTTGTAACTTTTTTGTTATTCCTTGTTTATCAATTACCTTTATTTTACTTTGGTTTAGGTCAAAATTTGGACCTATAATAGTCCCTCATCTTCAGTTGGAAATTTTCTTCATTTGACTTAATTACCTTCTCCAAGCACTGATTTCTCCATCCTATCTAATATCTATTAGCAATCTCTTTCTGTCAAATTGCTACAATTTATTCTTAAGGTGTTAAATTGCTGCAATTTATTCTTAAGGTACAAAATTTGTTGCCTTTGGCTTTGGCAGCTTGGCAATGTGTCCTTCTTGGCCACAATCTCTCTTTCTCAATAAAATTTTCATTAAACACCCCAGTGCTCGTACGTATAGTGTATACCCATATCTATTCGCTATAACATTTTCTTAATTTTAGTCTTTTAACATTAGACAAAAATATTTATTCTATGCACCTAATTTTATTTTATCTAAACTTATCTGAGATTCACTAATTTTTTTGTTTGTTTGTTTGTTTGTTTGTTTGTGTTTAGAGAGCCACAAGAGCAGGTGATGATCAAAATCGATCCTGGATCTTCTGGAATCGGGAGAGAAACTCTAAGAGCTATCCCTCACTCTCAGATTCACTAAACTAATTAATTGTAAATTGAACTTGAGATCAAGTATCCCTTGCTTTTCCTGAATTTATCATATTTGATCATATATATCTTTATCTCAATTTTTTATTTTTATTTTTATTTTTTTATTTTTTAAATCTAGAATATTAAGAGAAATAAGGTAAATTGAACTCATCATTTGAAAAATTGAACTATTGAAGTAACCAGATTATTTATATAAATAAATACTTCTACTAAACAACATCAATTTATTCCTGATCGAAATTTTGAAACGTGTCTATGTGACTATGTGTAAGATAAAATCGAAAATTTATGAGGTAATCTCAAAAAAAATAGCAAAATATTATCATCTTCGTTGTCTTAGTCTTCTTCCCCTTTATTTTGCTATGACCACTCGTTATCCTATTATCACTTTAATTTGTTCAGTTTGCCTCATACATAGTGATCACTCAGTTGGAATTATTTCTTAAGTCTTTGTCTAAGGTAAAATGCTTTCATATTCCATTCTACTTAAAAAAAAGCATCATTCTATCTCGGAATTTATTATTTCAAACTCATAATTCAATTAATTAACGACAGTTAGAAGGAGAAAAGGAAAAATATTATTCACTATACATTAAGAATCAATGAGTCTTTTTTTTGTTTCCTATGGTATTACATAACAATCAAAGAAACTACTTTAAAAAGTTGCGCGAACACAATAAATATCATCCCTAGAGGTAGCAAAAAGATCATTCAAGTTAGACTCGATGTAGGTTAGATTCGATTATTCATTTGGATCACTTATTTTTATTACCAAAATAGAATGGAGTATTAGGAACCGGCCAGTTTAAGTCTAAGGTTTGCTTTGGAATAACGCATCCTTCTAAAAAGATTAACTACAAACTAAAACCATTCATAAAAATTCTCTTAGTTAAAGTCTTGGATCATATTTCATGGCTAAATTCAGGGATATCAAAGCATATGTTCTTTGGTGGTCCAAGTTTTTATTATACACTAGATTATATTAAAATGTAACACATCTAATTGTACTAAACTTTGGGTACAAAAAGCTAATATATGGTTGAATTGAATTCAAAGGTAATTGTGGTCCCCATATTTTTAGCTTATTAAGCCAATGGTAATTTATAAATTAACATGAAATGAAATAAAACTATGTTTTAAGATTAATTTGCAGGGTATTAGGGGACCATACCACAAAGCCTGCATCAAATGGACTAATTAATTTCACAAATCTCTTAAATCACACTATCTTTGGATTCTTGGACATTTTAAGTATGGGGGACCATTGTAGCAACAAAGGAAATTTCGGATCATAAAAAGAAAGAATTAAGAGGACCATCAAAATTAATTAATATAATTTGTAGGGTTTAATTTTTGTAATCTTGGTAAATGGGGTGCAAACAATCTTAAAACACGCTGCGCAACGACCAAAATCATCTAATTCCATTTATCCATTTACAGTACAATTTTTAATTGAAGATGAAATTTGATAGGCAAATATGTTTGCCATTGTGCACTGAACCTAGTTTATACTCCATTAGCTGGTTCTACGAAAGTACTACAATTTTAGCAATTTGTATAAGGGCATGTAATAGATTAACTAGTGTATGGGTCGCGTAGACAACTTGGGACGCGAGTTACTTAGACTCGACATGCATGAAATTGGCTTGATCCGACATAAGTTCACTATAATTAGTAAGTCATGACAATTAGGCACAAGCACAACGACAATCAGCCTGTCTTGTGTGTGGCTGTTCACACTGTGTGACTACTTATAAAAGAACAAAGTAACCCCTATAACACCGGCCAAGTAACCCCTGTAAAACTGACCGAGTAACCCCTGTAACACTAACCGAATAACCTTATAACACTGACCAAGTAACCCCTTTAACACTAACAAAGTAACCCTTGTTACACTAACGACGTAACCCCCTATGATAGCTAGCCACGTATAAGAATTTGTGAACAACAATTCATAGTATGGAACATCAACATCACAAGTTCACAACCTCACTCTTACAACACAAATTTTTTAGACCGTTTCAAGCATGTTCTGTTTGAGCACGAGACTTGTATACACAGTACGTGGGTTGTACATCAAGCCCATGCCCTCACATCCCATTAGAACAGTCCTATGACCAAATTATTAGGTTAATCAACGGTATATTTTGCTGAAAATATTAAAAAAAAATTAAAAAAATTCATAAATGACAAGGGAATAAAAATGAAAGTATAGGGATGCACGAAGAGTTGGAAATGGTAAAGTTTCTATAAGAAGGCAGGGGAAGAAGGAGACATCCTGTACGAAGCTAGGACCTACAATCCCTGCCTACGCCAATAAGTCCAACACCTAACCCAAAACCATGTTTTGCATGTACACCTTTAAAGTTTGATCCGTACGCTAATTCCATATTTTTATAGGTGCACTAAACTATACAATTGTGTAAGTTTTTATATCTTGGTGCACTGAAATGAATAAATTTTATCAAATGCAAATTAACATATTATTAGTGTTTGAGCATTTCTAGTTATTGACTCCTTGTTACCAAATTAGGTCACACTTTATTAGTTTCCATCTACACACCAAGAAACCGGATGAACTTTTAAAACCATAATTTATTTTCGGCAAAACTGTTTTTATTAGTAGGATAATTGATTGTCTCCTCACTATGTACCTTGTCGAGTTGATGTTGATAGATAATACGAGTAAATAATTATGCAGGAATGTAGGATAATCTTCACCAAATATTTCTAAGAGTTATCTAATTAATTTATGGAGATGTAATACTCTAGCTTCTACTTTGTCCAATGATAAGATTGATACTTCTAATTACTTGAGCCTTCAAGGTGAAAGAAGTGACCATTAAGTCACAAGAAAAGCTAATTATGATGAAATTTCAACATTATTTGTTCTTTCTCGAGGTGTTATAGCCATTGTAAGATGGAAGGCAAACCCTACAACCAGCAATATCACCTGTGATTTTAGATAAAAGAAAATTTACCCCACAGTATATAATATGAGTTATTTGTATTGAATTTGTCTAATCTACCTGTCAATATTCAATACCTATCAAATGTGATATTCTTGTTTATTAAAATTGCTACTCACTCTTTAAAAAAAAAAAAAAAATTGTTTGACTTGATTCACACTCTACTCATTAGACTTCACTCTTACAAGTGGGAGTGTGAAAAGACAATGATCAAATACAAATTTCCCAAATAAATAAGACACCACAAAAAAGCACTTGGAGGAGTGATGACATTCACACAGCCACATAGTGATATAGATGCTCTATAATATTGTTAAGTTAAGATGGACATGCACGTGAGGTGTTGGCCATTGAATGATGGGCAATTAGCCCAAATTAATGGCTGTACTTGACGTGATGGGCCTTTTTCGGGCATGAAAGACCCTGATTGGACTGCCCATTTCTAGGAAAACAACGATAAGAGCGCACCACTGTTCAATGCTCACCACCTGTCGACATTCGATCGCCACGAGGTCCACAAATAGCAATTATTCACTTTGGCCCACTTATTTTCATTTTATATGGTGCAGAGAACATTACAAAAGTTCATTGATGCAGACGAGACTTGAAAGTTGAAATTAAGTAACGCGATAATGCTTGTACAAATTTAACATTTAGTATAGTTTACTGATTCAATTATCAACTTCACATAGTAAAATGTTTTAAAAGTTGAACATTAAGGTCTCTTGGATTAGAAAACGGACATTTCAATTCAAAAGTATAACCCAACTAAGTCTTACAGTAAATGATAAAACAGGGCATTGTTTTCAAGCACACGTGTGTTTTGAAACAACCCACCTATCTCAAGTATATTTAAGAGTCCTCCTATAAGAATATAACTTCCACTTCAATTGCTTCCCCATTAGAATGGGGGCTAGGGCTTACCCTCACGAGTCTTATATTATCACCCCATATGATTTTTCATTGTCTTTAACACAAGTAAACATTTTTCTATTGACTTTCAAAAAAAAAAAAAAAAAAAAACATTTTTCCTGTCATTAGTACTGTATACATCTTTACAAATATCACAAGAAGTTATTTTGAAAACAGTTGTATGAAAATTCAAAACAACTCTTCATGAAAAGAACACGACGACAACACAGGAGCCTATAATTTTAAGGTAAATAAATAAACTTATATCACCATGACTGAAGACTAGAAATATTCCTGAGCATCTCCTTAAAATATACTTCCACCTGCTTTAAAGTCTCCTTAAAACAAAATTACATTACAAATCAAAAGTTAAAACAAAGTCTAAAAGTTCCTTAATTAGAGTCTAATGCTCTTATGAGAATTATTAGGAGTTACACATACTTGCTGATGGAATTTACATTTTCACCCAGATAAAAAGACAAAAGATACAAGGTAAATCAAAAGTAGTTGTTACATATAATAGTAATGCTTCTTTTTTCATAGGGCAAAAGTTAGCCCTAACTAAAGCATCCACCTTGCATCCATCCTGGTAAGAATCCAGGAACTTGTGCATGTGTTGTAGCAACACTCATCTGCTCAGTAGTTTCCGGGTTATACCTGCATCCATCCAATTAACCAAACATAATTAAATTGTAGTCGTGTCGCGTTGTGCATTGCACGGGTTTAAAACTAGTAGTTTAGTTTTGTGCTTACCCTATTTGAAGGGTAGGATTGCAACCAAGGGGCTGGAAATTTAACAGCCCCTGAGATTGAGCGTGTTGTTGTCCATAGTGAACGTTCTGGTCGGTACCATCCCAGGATTGTCGGTATTGAGCATCCTTAATCATGATCCGATCAAGCTACCAATAAATAAATTCCAAGATATAATTGAACATCTGATTCATTGGACAATTTGTACAATACATCCTCATTATGCATATGAACGTTGAAGAAGCTATGATTGTTTTGTTACCTCAGTTTTCAAAGATTTATTAGCTTCCATTAGTGCATGTTCCTGTAAACAAATAACTTAGATGTTTTTATAGAGGTTGTTTGAAAAATGACTACCATATTATTTTAATGATATATAATATGATCGGCTCTTTTTTCATATTATAAAATGGACACAATTAATCTTCTAACATCTACAATGGAAATATAGTTTTTGAAAATTTTAATCCAACTTAAAATAGATATTTTTCGAAAAACTATAAAATAAGAATAAATATTACATAAATAAAACAAAAAATTTGATAAATCAAAAAAATGTAAATAACATTATTTTATACCAAAAAATAAAGTAATATTATTAATTACTTAGAAAAAAATAGGTCATTTATGAACTACAAAATCATTAAAACATTACGGTAGTCATATTTCAAACGACTACCGTAGAATTTTCAATTAAATGGCATATAAAAAAAATTAGAATTAATATTAATATAAGGTCCTAGTTTTTGCAATGTGATAATACAAAGGAAGCACATACCTTGTGCTGAAGGTCAGTAAGTTGATCCACCATTGATTGAGTCTGCATAGATAGCAGCAGTACACACACACATGTTTTCAAGTTAGACATACTATACTATACGTTTCAATGATTCCTAGCCAACGAACAGTACACAAGGTTATTGCAGTTAAAAGTTGAAAAAGATAGTGGTTTCAATCTCATACCACAAAGTTAATAAAAACGAGTAGCAAAGAGATCATGATGCATGCTTCATACAGAAATACAAGTACTTCATACGCAATAAAAATGCAAAAGCATGAATCGGATTAATACAATGGAGAGACATCCTAAAGTAGTACACGTGACTTAATATTTTTAAACTGAGCAAGGATTGTATATGTACGCACTCTCTTAAATGTAGGGTAATGTAAATAAATAACAGTTAACATTTGACTGTAATGAGATCGAGTGCTTGGTTAATGGTTATTACCTTAGTTGATCTGATCTGCTTCAGAGAAGTCTCCAGCTGCCTCTCCAGCTGATCAAGCTCCTTCACATTCAGAGGCCCCAAGTCCTCTCCAAGTAAGTTTCTGAGTGTATAAAATTGCGGAATATCACAACCATGTTCATAAAACAATATAGTACCTTCAAAATATTCAAATCTACTAAACACATTTGTTTCACAAATATTATAGAGAACATAAATATTTTACCTTTGAGTTCTTTGGAGTGATTCATGTCTAGCTTTCAGCTTCAAGTACTCCCTGTAGCTGCTCTGTTGAGAACAAAGCAAAATAAAACAAATTACAAAAAATTCCAAACAAAAAGTTCAATAGATATTTACACTAACATATAAAAAAAATGTTGCAGCTACTGCCTTATACCCGGGTGTACATATATACCCTAAGGTAGCGTGTGAACCTCGCGTGCCTTCGGGTTGTGCCTAGAGTACATCCGGTGTATGGTAGAATATGTACAGAGATACGAATTAAATAATGAACAATAAATGGGAAATATTATTACCTCAAGCTCTTTAGATGGCTTGTTGATTTCTACCCCACCATAGCTGCACTTCTGATACCTCTCAAGTGTTTTGAGCATGCTGCATGCAATGAAAATATTAATTACATAATATTAAGTATGATTTATCAGTAATCCGTTGTAGTCTAGTTGGTCAGGATACTCGGCTCTCACCCGAGAGACCCGGGTTCAAGTCCCGGCAACGGAATTTGTTTTTTAAATTCCTTTCCATCTAAATAATGCCAGAAAACAAGTAGTAGTAGTTTAGTCTATACTATTATCTAAAACATATCAATTTTATCTGGTGTTTTCTTCTGAACTGTGAACAGTTACTCCTGCATGGACTGCAATGTCTTGATACTCCTCACTTCACATCCTCTGTACACAAAGATCTTAGTTGTTAAAACTCGAAAACCGAGTTTTTTTTTTTTTTTTGAAGCAATCTGATGGATGGGAATAAGCTATATATCGAGAGTGCATGATGCAGTCAAAATTTAAATTCCATGGGAGCTTGGCTACAAAGAGTTCCTTTCCTATCAATGCTTAGTTAGAATGGAAATAATATAGTTGTGTCAGGAAACATGTATGTGAAAACCTCAAGTTAAGCATACATGTATCAAGGCTAGGCATTCTTTATCTTATGGTGAAGGTCTGAAGGACACAACAATGGCCGAGTTAGATTAATCAAATTAGTGAAGAGAGTAAAGTAGACAAACAAGTCGATCAAGTGTAAATCAATGACTACAACAAACCATTTGTATAGGTGAATTTGCATACCTCATACCTAAAATATTGCCCTAATCTATTAACTATTACTAAAACACAGTGTTGCTGACATCATTACTGTTCACATATCACTCACATAATAAATTTTTTCCCGCTTAAATGCAAGAATGATGTCATCTTTTTTTTTTTTTTAGAGCTATCATATTTAACAATTTAGAAATCTGAATATTAGAAGCTTCTACATTACAACTACCACCTATCAATTTATTTTTAAAGAGTGAAACAATTGTAAATAGCACACTAATAAATAGACTCATACATTGATATATGTATTAGGCAATGTTAAACAGGTATTATATCATAATTTTTTTGAAAAATCTAAAACTGTAAAATTAAAAATATTTTTGTACATGGTGCATAATTATTATTTGTATTCATCAAATTTATTTTTTTTTAATATACAAATTATAAAAATAGATTTTATATAAACCATGCATCGCACAAGTTCTAACCTAATTAATCACTATATCTTTATCGTTAGGTTAATATGAAACCCTCGGGTACAAGTGTACAAGGGCATGCTTATACAAAGTGCATCTAAACCCATTGTATGTGATGCAAAAACAATGACGGTTTGTTGTATTAGTTACTTTGAACTAAAGAGTAATAATTATTGCAAAATTAAGTCCCTCCATTGATAATATACTATAATTGCTTGCATTACTTATATGACACTAATTAAATTAAATAAAACTTGACAAGGAGATCAGGACATAAATAACATAACCAATATAGCTATTTCTAAAAGCTAGCACATTAATTTTTTTAAGAAAATTTGAAAATAATAAAAAGGTATAATGCTGATTTATTTTTTCCCAAATAAGGTCTTAAACATCTTTAAATGAAAGACATTTTTTTTTAACAATAAATGAAAAGACAATTTAGCTACGAGTAGCATATATGAGTGATTGAGTATACCATAGAGAAAGTTTTGAGCAATAAATTAATTTAAAAAATACATTAAATATAATCATCGGAAAAACGGCTTCATTGAATAATATCAAAGTAACGCACACAATCACCAGCCATTAGATCATGTATTATACTAAACCATATGCAGGGATGTAGCAAGGCCAGAGCAGGTGGTGCGACCGCCTTGGGACCTCGGACCAAAAGCCCAACTTCAGTATATTTTAAGGCCCCAAAATAAATATTTATATAAAAAAAATACCAAAGAAAAAGAAAAAAAAAAGCGTGTACAGTAAAATATGTCAACAGTACAATTGCATTTCAAAATATCAAGTGCCATTATTTTCGCTATTCAACCTCCTTCCTCCCTAATTTTTCACCCAAAATATTCACTTTCCTAAGTGAATTTGACTAACCCAAAAAAAAACTGTAATTAATTCAATTATATCCCCTTCTTTTGGTAATTTTATTTTCCAAAATGTATCTTTTCAATTTTCAGTCAAATTAATTCCTTATGTTTCGTGATTATGATAAATGGTAATTTTACCCTTCAATTTCAACGAGAATTCATCCAATTATATATATATCCTCTTTGTGTATCCTACTTTATTCATCAAAATCTCTTCTTTACGATTACTTTCATTCAAGATAATCAAGAATTATAAATTTGGGGGAAAAAAAATCTAATTGATTGATTGGTTACTTGGCTTGAATGGTTGTTTGATCTAATATTCTAATTACTTCAACGAGAGTTACAGAAATGCTATTGCCTACTGTCATTCAAGAAAAATATGTTAGAACATATTAATGTAGAAACTATTATTAGCGACTTTGCGTCTAGAAATGCTCGTAGAAATATTTTCATATGAACGCTTTGATTCAATGTTTTATCTATATGAAATTTGATGTTTGTAAAGATTATTTTGCGTAATAATTTTTTTTTTTCTTTTTTTTTGCATACCCAAATTTTATTTTATGATACTCTATGTGAATTAGGGCCCCAATTTATGGCTTCACCCTAGGCCACCAAAATCTCAAAACGGGCCTGACCATATGAAATCCACAAATCTATAATTTTAGCCAAATAAACCAATAGTAGAACGAAATTATAATTACTTCATAAGATGGTTTTTTTTTTTCCCTGTTAAAACAATAACAAGGGTATCATAATTAAGATATAAACCAATTAGGGTCAAAATTTTAGGGTTTTCAATTTTCTAGGCCAAGATGAAATTCACACAATCATGTATTTTATCACCCTCCCATCTTACATAAGTATACTAATTTTAGAGATAAATGTTGGCTGAACTTAATGGATACTAAAAAAAATATTTGAAGGGAAATGAAAATTTTAAATTATAGACTTTAGATCTAGAGAGAAATTCATAAATTAAATCTCAAAATTCTAACAAAAAAATGAGAATATAAATTTTAGGTTTTTAATGTAAATGGCTTTGATCGAAACCTGTTTTCTTCTTTAATTTCTTTATTTTTAAAAAATTCAGATGAACTTTATGTTCTTAGAAATCAAAGCTACAATATAACATAAGTTTTTAAAAACTTTTTTTTTTTGGGAGGTGTAAGGTTAGCTTGTAAGACTCAAATTAAACTTAGCTAAAAACAAAGCTGATCTTGCTATAATTCAACAAAATCATGAGAATTCATGATGAATTTTCAGAAAGTAGGAGAGAAACACAACAATTAAACAACCAATGGATAAAGAAATGCACAAGTATTAAACCGATCATCTAAAGTAACAAAACATCTTATCAAATAAAAACAAAGCTGCAATCCAAAGATCTAAAGTAGTAATACTATAACACCTTTAACCTATGAATTTTTTCTCTAGATCTTTACTTTAAACAATTTTGTAAAAAAACAAAATTACTATTTTAGAAAAAAAAGCTTAAAAAAATCATACAAACTAAACCTATGAAATTTTTTATTAAAAAAAATCTGACCAGATCTAGTGAAAACAACAAGAAAGGCTCAAAGTCTAATTTCCATTTTAGGTAAGTAAAAAATACAAGTAAGATGAAAATAAAATAAAATAAACCCAGATCTCAAAATTTTAAGATCAACCAAGAGTCCGGGTTGTTAAATTCAGGACAACACAAAATCGTAATCGTAAGCATAACATAAAATAAAGAAAAACCCGAAAAGGCGGTATGGTGATGATCACCTGGGTCCACTGCAGAATTCATAGAGTTTGCCGCGGTTGGAGAAGATGATAAGAGCAACTTCAGCATCACAAAGCACAGAAAGTTCATAAGCTTTCTTCAACAAACCATTTCTTCTCTTTGCAAATGTCACCTGCCTGTTTATTTTGTTCTCTATCCTCTTTAGCTCCACTCTTCCTCTTCCCATTATTTTTAACCTTTACTTTTTTTACCTCTTTTATAAATGTATTTTATTTTTATTTTTTTTTGCTTAAAAACTATATTTTCTAATGTAATTTGGTTAAATCTAACAAACCTACCTCTTCTTGTCTATAATATTTTTGCTAAAAATTTCCCTTCTTCACTTAGACAAAACTACACCAAATTTGTGAAATAATAAAAATTTATAGTAAGAAAGAAGTTTTTGAAACCCTAAACAAAGCTATAAATATTAATGAGAAACATTGAAAAATGAAGAAATAAAAAAAGAGGAGAGAGAGAAATGGGAAGAAAGAGAGAGAGAAAATTGCAAAGGTGAAGATGTGTTTTTGCCAGAATGAGGTCTAACAAGAGAGGGTTAGGGTTGGTATATGTGCTTTCATCACTTCATATATTAACTCCTTTTTTTGTTTTTTATTTTTTTATTACTTGTTTTATTAAATTTTTTTCCATACTATGTAATTTGATGTTTTTTTTCCATTTTCATGTTTTCTTCTACTTTTGTTTATCCACATGCATTCTTTAGAGCGTGAGGTTTAATTCCTTAACTTCAATCAAGCTAGCTAAGGTTTTAATTTATAAAAAGTAATCATATTTGGCTTTCGTGATCAAATGAACTAATCTGTAGAGGTGATCATGAGCTAGCTAGCTGGAGCAAATAATAATTTTGGACTTACCTTTGACACAAATGGTCTAAAAATCGAGTTAGGTCATGTAGTCAGGTTTTGTAGATCAACTTTACTAAGAATATTCTTACCGGACCCTAAATATTTTGCATTCATTATCTAAAGCATAATTGTCTTAAATAATACCCTACTTTGTATAAACTACTCGTATTAATTATTTTTCGAGAGATCTTTAACGAATGAACAGATAGACGTAGTATAATGAGAAAAATAAGTGAATAGTTTTGAAAGAAAATATATGTTAGGACAATTTTAGCTCCAATATTAAAGCTATTAAGTGATAGCTAAAAGAACAACCATCATCAAAGTAGGAGAGGATGCATGCATGAAGCTCTACAAAATTTGCTAAATTTTTTTTCTCGGACTAGTACTCTTAGAATACAAAATTAAAGCAAGCAAAGTGATACATATATACTGATCTGATGAGTATGATGACTAATAATGAGCGCTAATTAGTCTTACATTATTAGGATAATTTTGTGAAAACAAAGGTGATACCGTTAATTTCAAGACAATTTCATTCATGTTATATTGTTCAAATTAAATGAGTCTTTATTTTGTCATACTATTATTTTTATTTACTTCTAATGTACAATTTGCTAGTAAACATTCTCTCGGAATTGCTTGCAAGACATTTTTCAAACAAAAACATGAATTACCTAAAGAGGTTATAACAATAATTAACACATATACAAGTTTGAAGTCGAGCTAAAAGAATTGTAAGCTCTCAAGATTTATTATCAAATGAATTATGGAGTAAAAAAAATAATGTACTTGATCGCGCACATTTTATTTGGAAAATAAAAAAAAAAAATAAATAAATAAATAAATAAAACAAATAATCCACGGATCACTGCAAACACTATTTAAGCAATTAGTTTACTAAACGCACTAGATCTTATGGCTCGTACAAGCGTGATGATGAAGTTGTTAAGGTTGCTGGCTTTTGTGTATGGAAGTTCATTCAAGTCCATTAAATCCAGGCTTTAACACTCTCTAAAGTGACGTGACAACAACCATGTAACATTGATAATTAATGTTAGGGTTCAAAACTTCATTTTGTGGTTTTTACGGTAAAAATTGTTTAAGACAATATCGTGAAATCAGAGGGGACCTTTCACCAGGGTCATTTGGGGTCCAGTCCCTAGTAAATTATTATAATTAATTAGTTAATTAAATTAAATCACCTTATTTTATTTATAAAATATTAGCATATAGTGATTAGTTTTGAGCGAGAGGTAAAAAGATTCAAATCGCGACCCTTCTAATAGTTTTGGCCTAGATCCATCACTTCGTGAAATCACGCGCTTTTTACTACGTGATGAAAATACTCGTACTATAATTTTTCTTTTAACTTTCATTTAAATTTATTATATTAATCCCCTATTAAAATCCCTTACAAATTCTGTACTACGTCTATCTACCGTCGTTGTTAAAAAATCTTAACGTTCCTTCCAAAAAAAAAAAAGAAAAATCTTAAAGTCGTCACAAAACTTAAAATGGTTGTCCACGTGTCATCTCCTGAATGGGTAGCCATCATTTTCATGCAGCATCCTTTTATTTCACTTTCACCATGTGACACTGTTAAAAAATTAAATCCTCAAAATGGTATGTCCACTTGCATTTTCCATGCCACTTTTTTCATGTACATAAACTTATAAAAGTCCATCATAGTACTTGTAATAAAAGCGTTACATGTGAGCTACTAACTTCGATTTCAATTATTCTCACCAAGAAAACAAAAGGTGAATTAACCTAAGCTAAGTATCTATATAAATGTGTAACAATTATCGCTTTATGTAAAGGTTATTTCATGAAATATGGTTTTTTTTATTTTATATTTTTGAGCTGCTTTAACTTTAATTTTCATTACGTGATAGAGTAGGTTATGGAATATAAAACGAAAAGAAGCATTCACACTTAATGATGTTGATTTGAAATAATGCTCTCTGTATAAGATCCATATTTGGTTTTAATTAGCTAGTAGCTATATTACTAAATATGGTTGTTGATAAGTGGTATAGTACTTTATAGTAGATATAATCCTTTAAACTCAATTTGGATATTTTGTGACTTTTTCAATGCGCGTCTAATACATACTTCTAACTTAATTAGGTTAGAAAAATTAGTGATCCATCCGAATTTACTAATGAAAGTTAATAAAAGCAGTACGTTAACTCACATAATTAGAATTCTTTCTTCCAAGTGGGGCCAACCGTAAGCATATTTTCATACTAGAATTTGATGATCCCAATCGAGCTACCAATTCAAGTAATTCAAATCCACTGCTTAATTTACTTCCCGTAAACATGGTGAATGAAATATTAACCAAAAGGCCGCGCAAAATATGCATTATTAATCAATTAAGTACTCCGTAACATATTAGTCTCCTTGAGCTGTCCTTACTGCCATACGTATACATCCATGGCTAGCTAGCTTTAATAATTAAAATGGAGAACCATAATTTGCCAAAAGTTATGTCATAATATTAATAGAAAAAAACTTTACTTGATAAAACTAAACTGTTTGGCTCAAATTAGTGCATAATTATGAAAAGTTTCTTTCTTAAGTCCCTCCACTGAATGCATACAGCATACGTACATATGTTATGGAGTGTCTAAATTATGTCGCTAGAAACGTGTCCAAATAAAACGTACTGTTGAATGTTGAATTGTTGATAGTCTTTTTCTTAAGGGAAATTGAATGTTGATAGAAACGTACGTGCTTCGAATTATTTTTCCTCAAGGACTTTGTATTATTATTTCGATTTTATTTATTATCCGGCTAAATGGATCTCCGCTCTTTAAAAAAACCGTTTTGCAACAATAATGTAAATTGAATTCGGAGTAGCCGAATATGCATGTTAACATACATTTTTTTGGTACTTGGGTGCACTTAAAGATATTCAAAGACGTATATGTATTTGTACACAATATATTCTTGTTAAATATTGGGCTGGGCCAAATCCGTCACCAACAGAGACTCTATTTCACAAGACCAAATGAGGTTACATCCTAAAATAATATAGCGTGACAATAGGAGAAGTAGCCCCTTAGCCTTATAAAGTATTAACTCTCAACTTTTATCAACGTGAGACGGTTATATGCATGGGCGGATCTAGCGTGGGTTCATTGAACCCACTGAATTTTTGAAAAAAATTAAAAAGTTGTTTTTAAAAAAAAAACCTGGGAAACAGATAAAAATGATTTTTTGTTTAATATGTGTTAAGATGTAAAGGTGCAGCCTAGTGGTAATTTTTACCTTGCATCCTTATAACACAATGAGCAAGAGGTTAAAAGTTCGATTCTTGAACCTCATTTTTTTTTAAACATCAATTTCAGTTTCTCAACACATAATAAACGTTGCTTTTGCCTTCCCCATCTAGATAATCATTGAATATTAATAGATTGTATTAGCTAGATGAAGGCATCCTCTTTGCATATTTTTTTTTTCTTTTGAAACCATCCTCTTTGCATATTTTAATTAATTAGCCTTCCTATTTGAGTTGGAGGTAGAAGATTAGTATTAAGGTTAAGTTTGCTTCAAGGGACCCAATAAGTACGACAATATGGTCTAATGTTACAACTTACTAAGTATAATATTGTTCTGATTCAGATGATTGCATTTGTGAATTGTGTTAAATATAGAATAGTAGTACTCTGTAATTTATACACATGAACGTGTTATTCCTCATAGGAATACACTTGTACTAATTTTGTGTGACAATATCATTAGGACATAACATTGATATTCCTAAATTTAAAATATATGAAGTATGTATTATTTTATAACCACAAAAAAATCTATCAAATGTTAGATATCTCCTTGATAGATTATATATATATATATACCCAAATAAAAAAGACCTAAAATCAATCAATGAATATGAGCGTGACCTAACCGGATCATGAACTATTTTCCTAATCACCCAAACACGATTCAAACTAAAGTGATTCAACATAGTCCCAATTCAAACCAACTCTTTTGGCAACTCAAAATTGTGTCCTCGCTGTTGAATAGCTTTTTTTTTTTTTTTCATTTTTCTACGTGTAATCAATTTGTAATCCACAATGTGAACTTATGTATTAAATATTTTATTAATATTTTTTCATTTCTTCGTTAATAACGATTCCGAACCCACACATCGAAATTCCTGGAGACGCCACTGGTTATATGTGTTGTTTGGAAAGACTATATCTTAAAAATTATGCTCATTTACTCATACAATTATGCTAATTATTTAAATGACATAAAATGAACTTGTAAAACTAGATTTTGTAGATTAACGGGTACGCTTAAGATTAGGGGTCAGGTAAAGGAATCTCACCCCCAACCACTCCCAAGCACAAGTAGATAATTAGACCTGAACATGTAACATCTAATTAAGTCATAAAGTGCTCTACCCACCATGTCCATCAAGGTCATGTAATGCAATGGCAAGATAATTAATTTAGTTAGTATAGGTAGTACAATACGGATCGGAGTATAAATGTAGATCATATTTGAAAGATTTCACTCTTTTCAAATAAAAACATTATATAAACTTTACGATTGTTTAAACTAAGGATACACTAATACACCTTGTACGTGTACGTGGATAATTGATTATCTTGTGTACCATTATTATCTTGTATTATGTATTTATGTAACATTAAACTTGTACTCGTACCACATATAAAGGAAATGCTACATTTTGTATCAAAATACTAATTTTAACGTATAATAAATGAAATTTACATTTCCGAAGGAAAATTAACATCAGATCATTTACATGTTTTGGCATTGAGAAGTACTTTCTCCAATCGATTGTCAATCACTCATAAATGTTGCAAGAGTCAAGACACAAACTACAGTTTATAGTTACAGA